CACTGGAGATGCAATTCGGGTTTTTACAGTAACTCAATTTCAAAATTGGCTCTAGCATCACTGGTTTACAGTATTTGGATTGAGCGTAATCGGAGAATTTTTAAGAAAAAATCACTCACCCAAAATTCGTTGCTTCACCAAACGCTGGAGACAATCAGATTGAAACTCATGTCTACAACCATCTCCAACTCTGTGAATGTCGGACGCATCACAGATGAATGGGAGCTTCCACCCTCAGCTATCAGACCACTGGCCAAGCCTCCTGATCAACAGCTTTGAGGAGAGCATCCTCTCCATAGACATTGCTTTGTGTTGTGTCAATGTAACTCTTGCTGGGTTATTTGCTCTTGTGCTTTAGGCTGTCTCGTGGGCTAACTTGTATGGTCTCATGCTTTTGTAATTTGGTTAGCCTGGGCTAACTTATATTGTATATGTTATTATTTATAAAATTGATTTTACCTTTCAAAAAAAAAAAAAAAAAACTTTCAACGACTGGTCCAATGTCGCTGTCTCGAGACTTCTTCGGCTACTGGAAGAAATGGATCGGTCCAAATTCTAGTGGACTGGTCCAACTTTGGCAGAAAGTTTGGGAATGGTAATTTCATCAAGTTGAACTGGTCCAACTTTTTTGGACTAATACAACATCCTTGGGAACTGCTGAAATTTATTTCATTTACCGTTTTAGACTCTCCGAAAATCCTAGAATGGGTCAAGTTGGTTTCTTTTGAGAGGGACTATTTATATAAACCTGAATTATATTTTAGGGTTGAGAGTGTTTCAATTAATTGAATTTGAATTGTGCCTACACAAGAGAGTGCAAATGAGAGAAATTGAGAGGAAAATCCTTCATTGTAATCCATCTTTTTCATAGCGAATTTTGTTCATTGCGCTCTATGGACGTAGCCCTAGTTTTTGGGTGAACCACGTATATCTTGAGTGTGTGATTGTCTATATTTCTTTGTGTGTTTTACTCCTCGAGCATCATTATTAAAAAATTGGATGGAAGGGAGAGAATAAGGAATGGATGAGACATCCCTAAAGAAGAGACTGTGTATTTTCTTCTTTTTATTCATTTGGATAAAAGAGAAGAGAATATGCTCATAATTTACTATGTTCATTAAGATAGAAGGAAATCGAAAATTTTAATTATTAGTTTTCATTATATCCAATAATATTTATAATAATGTAATTTACAGAGGATAATACTGTAATTTAAAACTTGTATAATTTAGGATAATATTTAATTTAAAACTTCTATAATAATACATTTATCTTCCCTCGGCTATTTTTGGGAGGATGAAAATTTGTAAAGGATGAGGGATAGGTCATCCTTCCTAATCTCCTTTCTTTCCTTATATCATCTCTACTAAATAAAGGAAATTCGTTCATTCCTTCCTATTTTCTCTCCAAACCTCTTCCTACCTTCCTACTGGACACAACATAAGGATTTCCGCCACAACAACTATTATCAGAGCATCCGATTGTTTTATAACATGTTGAATCTAGTACAGTGGTTAATAATAGTGGTGTGCAAGAAAGTCTTAAGCCATCAAAAACTGGTGCACATTCCTCCTGCAACAAAACTTGGGCGGTAAGAGAATTCTTTCATCTGCTACAAAAAAACTCCTTTAATTTGTAGTTTAGTGCAGAAGCAGTAAGCTAACCAATCAATTACAAAAAAATAATGTTCTGTTATGATGCAGAAGCACTTAACTGAAAACACAAAAATAAGAAACACACACATACACAATCACACTTTTGATTATCATAAACAAAGTTTAGCTTAAGGCTTTATTAGGTGCATCATCTCAATTTGTATCAATAGCATAAACACAAATAGGAAGAGATACATCAGGTGATTTAAATATAACAGGGATTATTTAAACACAAAGTGACAATTCCCAAGTGAAGATGATGCTAATAAGTCCACGAGGCCTTACTTAAACATGCTGAATTTTTAAAATACCTAAGAAGATGCAAATAAGCTACCCAACTTGTTAACATAACGACCAACACCATGGTGAGTCGCGGATCCACGATTTCTCGTTAGGGTGGGCTAATATTAAACATAAATTTAATAACAAAATTTCTTAAGCAAAAAAAAAAAAAAAAAAAAATTATAACATAATATAGATAAATATTTAAATATTTAAATTCAAATATTACAAAATATTTATCTAAGTTGTGCTCGACAAGTCTTTAAAGACTCGAATTCGTCAATAAAGACTCCAAGTCAATTTTCCAAACAAACTCCCGTTCAAGATTATTTAACATAATAAAATTAAAGAATGAGCTAGATAAAAAATACCAAAATCAAAATATATCAACCAATACCATGCTAAGACCGCCGTAGACTGTAGTTTCTACTTTTTAACATTCTATCACTACTTGTGTAGTTTCTACTTTTTAACATTCTATCACAGTATCACTGCTTGTTTGCTTTTTCCAAATTAACATAAGCGCTGTTGTTTAATTCTATTTTAGATTTTTTAGTTTGCAAAACAAGTAATTTTAAATTTTTAAGTAATTTACCTAAATCAAAATATATCAACCAATTAATCAAACCCTATATTAAGTAATTTTGTTAAGAAAAAATCTGGAATAAAATATAAAATATATTGAATAATTGAATAAATGACTTACCTTGAATATCAATTGATCCAATTTGTTGTACACTTGTGCTTTATACTTCCAATTTGTTGGCCTTCAGCAATTTTTGCAAAGGGAGATCCAATTAGAAATTGTGTGATTCAATTTATTTTGTTGACCTAAATTAAGTTTGCAAAACAAGTAATTTTAAATTTTTAAATAATTTACCTAAATCAAAATATATCAACCAATTAACCAAATCCTATATTAAGTAATTTTGTTAAGAAAAAATATAGAATAAAAAATATATATTGAATAATTGAAAGAAATGAATTATGACTTATCTTGAATATCAATTGATCGTGCACTTGTGCTATTTACTTCGAGTCTAAAGTGATGAAAGCAGTTTTAATTTGTTGGGTGGGACGGTGGGGGGACTGAAAAGAAAAGCTTGAAAATCTGAAATGATTTTGCCCTAAAATCTAAAGGAGTCGTGGGAGGCTGAAAAGCCTGCAATGATTTGAAATAAATTTTTATTTTTATTTTTATTTTTTTGTGGTGCCCATTGGTGGAGTTATTTGGGTTGGGCCTTTATTTTAGTATGGTGACTTAGTTAACTTGGGCTTCCTTGGGTTTTTGGGGGTGGGTTAATACTTTTTTTTTTTTTTTTTTTGAACTGGGCTAATGTATTAGTATGGTAAAATTTTTTTTTGGGGTGGGCTGGGCTGTACAGCCCACCCTTGCCAACCCCTGTGTCCGCCCTTGATGGTGACTCCAATGCCTTTGACTTCGTTGTTAATTCCTCCATCCCTTCATCATATTTCTTCTTTTGTGTCTCCATCTCTTCATCATATTTCTCTTTTAGTGTCTCCATCTCTTCATCATATTTTTTCTTGAGTGTCTCTATTTTTTCTTGAACTGTCATGGAGAAATCCATAAATTTTGTTGTAACATGCAAATTCATATGAAATAAATGCATATAATGGCACAATAACATTTTTTTTCTTCGTTTATTTCTTTAGATAGATCTCTCATTTTTCCCACATTAGTCAAATCAACCCGGCCTTGAACAATAATAAGATAAAAAGAAATTTCAAGAATGAAAATTTTAATAGCATGATATATTTAAAATTCAAGAAAAGACGCATTTAAATTAACATATTTTATTCTAAAATATAAACAAGAAAGTGTATAAATCTATTAAATAATATATCCCGACAACAGGCACAATTATCATCCAAATAATAGGAAAAGGTAATGAAACAAATTTTGTAAAGACTTCTCAAAAAATAAGTAAATTCTATAACGGAATAAAAACAAAATTTAGAGCTTCAAACTCGCAAATTCAATATCTAGGGGGCATATTTGTTAATTAGGAGAACATTTTTTCAGGAGGGCAACTTCCTGTATGGTCCTTAGCTGCCTCCTCTAGGCTGTATAATTTTTTTTTTTTTTTAGGAGAACATTTTTTCAGAGGTGGCAAAGTTTGACACGACCCGTCGAAAACAACACGATTTAAGTGGGTTTGGATTGACCTTACATGAATTTAGGTCGTAAACGGGTCGACTAACCCTTCTAATTAATTGTCATATTTAGGTTGAAATGTTCAATTCGTATAACCGTTTTAATTATACGTGTCATAAACAAATTTCTATTTAAATTCTAACTCATAACTTAATTTGACAGATGATGTGCTGAGAAGAAAATGACTTATATGTTTCCAAGCACAAAAATTGCCAATTATTAGTGTTCCGTGGTGAATACCATCAGAGGTACTTATGGCAGTTCCCTTCTCGTAATGCTTTGGGCTGCAAGGAAATTCTTTTACCCAGTCAAAGTGCGCTTATATTTCATAGATTAGTGTAGGAGCATTCGATATTTCAAAATTTCACAAATTTAAAGAAAAACAAAATTATTACTTTAGTAACTTAAACAAGAAGTCCTCCTACAAATTAACAAGTGACAATTAAAAGTATTAGTATATAATTTTAGTTAAGGACTACATAAGAATGGACTTGAATTTTGTTTCACAAGATTTATTCTTTCCAGAGTATTGTTGAAATGGTCTAAATCAAAATTTTCTATAATTTTCAAAGACACATGTAGAGGATGTTTCTTGAATAGTTCTACAGTTACTTTAATGTCAAAAGGCCTTCACAAGATAGTCTTTTCCTACAAACCAATTTAAATCCCTTCTTACTCAACAAAGATTCGGAATTAACTTCTAGAAATTTCTGGCACATGTAAAACCACCATGACCTTACTAGACATAAATTTCAAAATCACCTTCTCTAGATGAATACAAAATACTTAGCATCAAACATCAAGACGTAATTTTTGGAAAACAATTTTTTCGCAAAAAGTAACAAATATATTAATAACATTTATATTTTAAAATAAACAAATAAAAATATTAATAAATATAATGTTTTATTTACTTCCAAATTTACAAAAATTTCACCCTATACCTTATTTTGTCTAAAAAAAATTCTACACTAACTCTAAATGAATGGATCATCATCATCTTCATATATAAAACTTGTCTCTACACGTGAATTAAATTTGAAATTTGTTGAACAGTTTGTAAATAGATATTTTTCTTTACCCCTTTAACTCCCTTGTTAGTTTCTCCATCTCTTCATCATGTTTCGTCTTGAGTGTCTCCATCTCTTCATCATGTTACTCCTTGAGTGCCCTTAACAATATTTTTTCCTTTTCAGCAGAGTCTTCAAGAACAGCTACAGATGCCTTTGTACCTAACGAAGGAGTACCTTCGGAGAAAGATCAGTCAAGACATAATTTTGCATTACATATATAGCGTTAGAAAGCAATTAATCCAATACTGTAGTACTTTAATATTGCACATATGTGAATCTTTAATTAACTAATATACAAGCATTCTTCTAGTAAGAATTTTTATTATGTGCCCATCAACATTTGAGTCTTGAATATATTCTAAGAGCTCTTCACTGTAGGAAATTCAAAACTATAAAATAACTATAATAAATAACCATCATGGAGGAATCCATATATTTTGTTGTCACATGCAAATTCATGTCTTGGGAGCAGGAAAAAATGGAGTACCTCTGCCCACTAATGAAATAAAAGCATATAATGGCAAAATGACAATTTTTTTCTTCATTTATTTGTTTAGATAGATCTCTAGTTTTTCCCACATTAGTCAAATCAACGTGGCCTTGAATAACAATAAGATAAAAAAGAAATTTCAAGAACGAAAATTTTAATAGCATGATGTATTCGAAATTCAAGAAAATATGCATTTAAATGAACATATTTTATTCTAAAATATAAACAAGAAAGTGTATAAATCTATTAAATAATATATCCAACAACTGGCACAATTATAATCAAAATAATAGGAAGAGGCAATGAAACAAATTTTGTAACGACTTATCAAAAATTAAATAATTTCTATAACGGAATAAAAACAAAATTTAGAACTTAAATCTCGCAAATTCAATATCTAGGGGGGCATATTTGTTAATTAGGAGAACATTTTTTTCGGGAGGGCAAGTTCTCTTATGGTCCTTAGCTGCCTCCGTCCCTAGTAGTAGTAGGCTGTATAATTTTTTTATTTATTATTTTTTAGTTAAAAGATAAGCTTTTATACGAGAAAGAATATCCAGAGGGTTCCGAGAAAAAAAACTAACAAAGAAGTAACAAGAAGCAGAGCAACAAGGCTGCACCAAAATAACACCCAAACTGTAAAACATACAGCAACCACCAGCTTTGGAGAACAGATTTTGGAGGTCATTGTATGTTGCGGCATGACTAAGATCAGGTTGACAAAGTTTGACTAAGATCAGAGTGACAAAGTTTGACACAATCTGCTAACACGACACGAGTTAAGTAAATTTGGATTGACGTTAAATGGGTTTGGGTCGTAAACAATTCAACACGATTAACCCATTTAGTTAATCGCGTCGTATTGGGTTGGGAAATTCAACTTGTATAACTCATTTATACCCTTTTAACTATACATATCATAAATAAATTTCTATTAAAATTCCAACTCATGATTTAATTTGACGGATGATGTGCTGAGAAGAAAATGACTTGTATAGTTCCAAGCACAAAAATTGCCAATTATTAGTGTTCCAAAGTGAGTACTATCAGAGGTACTCAGGAAATTCTTTTACCTAGTCAAAGTGCTTATATTTCATAGATGAGTGTAGGAGCATTCGATCTTTCGAAAAAAAAAAAAAAAGTCATTAATTTGAAAAATTTAGTGCCCAAAATAATCCTCACTTAGTTCTTGGGATTTGGCAAGGCTACCTTAGTTGAACACTTCCACACTTCAAAATAAAGGTCCTGTTGATATTTCTAAATGGTTTTCTTAAAAATTTTGATTCCACACACTTCAAATTTATAATCCTTATTCATAGAAGTTTTAGAAATTAAATCTGAATTTTTAGTAGTCTTTGAGGGAATGAGTAATTAACATGCCATAATCGATCTACTATGCTACACATCAATGTACTCATTAATGTAAGTGGAAGATGTTTCATTGAATAGTTCTACAGTTACTTTAATGTCAAAAGGCCTTCACAATATAGTCTTTTCCTACAAACCAATTTAAATCCCTTCTTACTCAAAAAAAAAAAAAAAAAAAAATCAAATCGGAATGAACTTCTAGAAATTTTTGGCACATTTAAAACCACCAAGACCTTACTAGACATAAATTTCAAAATCACCTTCCCTAGATGAATACAAAATTATTATCATCAAACATCACAATTGCTGACATAATTTTTGGAAAACTATTTTTTCGCAAAAAGTAACAAATATATTAATAACATTTAAAATAAACAAATACAAATATTAATAAATATAATGTTTCATTCACTTCCAAATTTCGACAAAAATATCACCCGACACCTTATTTTGTCTAAAAAAATTCTCTAGCATTATAGAGAGAAGGGACATAAAAGTTGATTTAGAGAGACGGTAAGATCTAAGTTGGATAGGTCACGTCTTTGTAAGTGAAAATTAAATCCACAATAAATTATGCTTTTCTCCTTACAAAATTTTCTTTTGAATTATTATTAAGGTATAACGTCACAAAACATGGAAATTCCTACTAACATCTATTTCTTTCTAATTATCGTGTGCCATTATACTACACCACACATGCCCAATGACAAACATGATAACTTTTCCTTTATGCAACCTAGTATAGAACAACTTACCAATTTCACAACCACCGACGTGCTGTGGATCTCTCCCCTTAATTTCATCCAACTTTGTTGTTAGTATCTGTAACTCCATTGTCAGTGCATTTACATTTGCTTGAAGCCGTGCAATCTTATCATCTGGTTTGGCAATGGCACGATGATCGGAAGGGACTTTCAAAAAGGTTTTCTGATCTATTAATGCATCTCTAGCCCCTGTTTTCATTACCCTTGCATCATTATTATAATCGAGTCAACCAACTATGGAGGATTCTCAAATGATCATGTTACATATTAATCACACTTCACATGTCCAACAATGAATAAGGTAAATTTTTCCTATCAAAACGGAGCACAAAACAACTTACCAATTTTGTAGTCAGGAATATGTTGGGCACGTCTCCCCTTAAATTCATCAAATTTTGTTGTTATTGCCATTAAATCAGCTATCAGTGTATCTACCTCTACTTCAAGTATTATAATCTCTTCATCTAGTTTAGCAATGGCAGGATCATCTCTCGCGGTGCTTGAAAATGCCTCCTAATCAGTTGATGCATTTCTAGTCCCTACTTCCATTACCCCTGCATCATTTTTATTATCAAGTCTACCAGCCAAGCATTTCCAAATCATAATGTTACAAATTAAGCACACTTTACATGTCCAATAATAAGTATGGTAATTCTAATACAATCCAGTACTAAACAACTTACCAACTTGGTAGTCACTAATAGGTTGTGCACGTCTCTTTTGAAGTCCATTCAATTTTTCTGTTAGTGTCTCTAACTTTGCGATCAATGCATCTATGTCTGCTTGAAGCTTTACAATCTCTTCTTGTATCAAGGAAGTGTCTCTCTCTAGTAAAGGAAGAATCTGACGAGTGACCAGAAGCTAAAGGATTATATTAATATAATGGGCCACTATTAAATGATTTTCAAATTCACAACAAGCATATATATATATATATGTACATATATTTGTCTAAAATCGGATAGCCCATCGATTGGATAGGTTTACTCAATATACAAATCATCGTTAATAAGACGTCATATATATCCTGTTAATATTAAATAGTATATAGGTTGAGTAGTTTTTGTAAATGATTTTACATATTTGGCATACTTGTGTTAATTTATTGTTTCTGCCAACAATGTATTTAAATGAAAAATGAAAGACAAGTCGAAGAAGTGTTCAACAATTTAATGCAAGAAGGAAACGTAGAACCAAATATTTTTTATGATTGGAATTTGGGAAAAAGAAAAGGAAATCAAATGTCACAAAATCTAATTACTTTTTGATTAGATTTTTAAAATCATATCTATTAGTATCATAAATTCCATTTTAAAACCATCGAAATCATGTGTTCTAAACACAAACGGTAGAGTTCAAACACCAAAACTAGAGTATAAAAACTCATACAATGTCAAATGGTAAGCTGTCTAGGTCTCATCAATTAACTAAAAATTATGGCGTACCTCATTAAACACGCAACGAATATGAGCAACATATACGTAGTGGTCATCCTCACAATAATAAGTTGATTCTGCCAGCTCTCTTCTTTCCTCACAAATATCACAGTAGTATTCAGAGTCATCGTCGGAGTCATAATCATCATCATCATCATGGTCTTTGATGCGAGAATGAGTGAGGGTGAGTGGATGTCCGTGATTGCTATGTTTAAATGTATGTGGTAATGTCGGAACACAGAACAAGTCGAGATTGAAATCGCATGGCACACAACGAAAGTAAGGGAAACTGGGGTTAAGTCCGGAGCAAACCGCACGAACGCTGCACTGAATATCTTTTTTCCGGTAGGTAATGAGGTTAATATCTTTGTTAGGCTTGTTGAAGAAAGCAAGAGGGTGGGGGTGAAGGTTGAATTTGACAGTGGACCTCAGCGAAGCACATATAATATCTATTGCAAAGTTGCAACCAAAGGCACACTCGTATTTGAAGCCGCTAACAGAACATCGACATGCCTGGCATTCATATTTGTCTACAAAATCGCTGAGCACGAGAGGATGTGGTGGATGAAAGGGGTGCTTGATCTCTCGTGGCAATTCAGCACACGACTTGTGCAGGAAAATTCGGCATTCAAGACAAACATAGATTGTATCCTCGATCGTTATGTCACAGGCAGAACACGAAAAACTAAAAGTCCCATTGGTATCACAGGGAAGCAAAACATGGGGATGGGTGAACTGTGATACTTGAACAACCTCCCGTTTGGGCATCAGAGAAGCGCACCTTACGTCCAGTTCAAATGAATCAAATGGTTTACGCTCATGGCATTCATAGGAGAAGCGACAGTTACGTTGACTGCACGCATTGCAAACATGATAAAATGGATTATCAAAATAGTCTGAAAACCTGAGACTGAGACTATGATGAGGGTGAAAGTGATGTTTGAAATTCAGTGGTAGTTGGGTGCATGATGTATCCAAGATAGCCCGGCATTCTAAACAAACATAGATCGTGCCCCTTTTAATGGGTAAATGGCACACAGAGCACAGAAAATCAACATCCTTGTTCTTCCTACAACAAGGAATCAAGCGATGCGGGTGAGTGATCTGTTTCTCCTCCTCCTTGTGACCAGAACTTGAGTGGTAGTGGTAGTCGGTGGTGATTGGCATCAGCGTAGCGCAATTAACGTCGATGTCAAATTCACAAGCGGAACAGTGATAAAAGAAGCCTTCACATTTCTTCCGGCAGGCATTGCAGTAAGAATATTCACGACTATGGTCATATTGTTCGGAAGAATCTGAGTCGTCGGATACTTCAGAATCATATGATCCGTAAGGTGATTGAGCAAGAAGAGTGAGGGGATGTTCCTTGTGGAAGGGGTGTTGAATCTCTCGCGGCAATTCACCACATGATTTGCAGATGTAATAATGGCATCGATTGCAGCCATAGAAATAACTCAAGTTGCTCTTCTGGCACCCTTCGCATTTGATAGTCTCTCCGTCTATTAGTTGTTTCTGATCGTGGGGGGTCAAGCGATGCTTGTGGCTGAAGTGTTTATTCCCCATCTCTCTGTAATCCAAAGAAAAAGAAAATTTGTTTGAGGTCAAGTCCCAAAGTGATGATGAGGGTGAAAGCCAATAGTCACGTAAATAATATCACCCAATCACTTTTATCTTTTATCATTATTATTATTATAATTTTCTTAAAAGCTCGTGTATAGATTTCACAATATATGCAATATGCAAGTCAAGAATAAGATTCTAAAGCGAGACCTCATGAATTAGGATCCAATTTAAATAGGTCGGACATACTATTTTGTTATTCTAGATATTGAAAAAGTTTACAATACGTGGTGTCACAGGGCTAAATTACACCACGAATTTTTGCCTCTGTGATGGCACTTGGGGCCACCAAGTCTCAGCCAACACAACAACACAATACACACAGTATAAAATATAAAGAAGGCACACATAGTTTACAGGGACAAGCCCCAACCTTTGCTCATATTAAACATATTACAAAGGAACATGAGTTCGTACAAGGAACAACCAAGGCTCACACCCTCTTCTCTGTTCCCTCTACAAAGCCCACCTTAGCATTATATAGGCCACTCTCAAAACCGCCCATAACTGTCCACTAAGATGATGGATGACACCCCCATCCACCTAGGGTCGTGCTGGCACCCTCTAAATGAGCCAGCACTATAATGCAGTTGACAAGCCCAACTGCTAGACTTGTTGGCATGTTCTGCTCATGCCACATAACCACAAGAAGTTAGATTCTGCATAGTGGAGGAAACTACCCTTAACTGCCTGTGTGTTGGTCCTCTCAGAATTGTGCCACATGTTTGGGAGGTTATTCAGCACTCCCCCACTTCCCATGATGAGTGGGAAGTGCTAGTAACTTCCCCCAACCAATCCAGCCCACTAAACCACCACCTCTTGTAACCGCAAGTCATGACTTTGTGTTATCCATGCTCTAGCCACATCTAAGTCAACCTTGTGAACCTAGCCCAAGTCCACCAATCTGCACCCATATACATATGTCTCTGAGTGCACGGCGTGCCAAGCCATGCACGCCCGTGCGCACGCTCGGATGCACACCAAAGTGCACGCCGGCGCACACACTAGTGCCCTTCTTCGCGCGCCATGTTTGTACCCTCATGCGCCCGTGGCTATACGCCCACCTGGACGCCCATGTGCACGCCGAGCTAGACGCTCGCGCACACTAGGTTGGACGCCTACCCGCGCGCCCACCTGCACTCCCGCACGCTCGCCGCTGCACCCCAGGGCGCGTGTCGGTGCACACTTGTTTGCCCTTCAATATCTTGGATGTTCCCCACTTGTGCAACCATCTTGGAGTGGTGCAACACGTGTCCATGCACGTTGGCTAAGCCCTCTAAGCAAGCCATGCCATAGCCCAACCGATGCGCTCAACAGACCCCCCCCTAATATAGTCTTAAGGAAATCCAGCACTCTGACAGGAGTAAACATCACCCATGCTTGAGGAGTCATAATGGCCTTTCAGACCTTTCCCAACATCCAAATTGAGTGCTGTCTGCGCCAACCAGCTTCTATGGACTCAAGGTATCTCCCATAAAGATCCCGAGTCAAAACTCCAAGTTTCACTTTTTGCCATATTTACGAAAGTGCCACTGGGCACCCCCAGTGCACGCCGAGCATCCTTTTAAGCATCTTGTGTGCACGCTAAGCATCTTGTGCACGCTGACAACCCACTGAGCACCCTCATGGCTGTCTAATCAAAGCCAAAGTATTCCTAAGACATGGCATGGCCTTGAAATGCCCATGTCTTCCCTTGGACAACCGTCAAGGGGCTAACACGTGGTTAGTATATGTGGTATCCCATTTAATGGACAGACACGAGCCAAACTGAGAGTTTCTATCTGTGTCAACTAGCTACCACAAATACAATACCCTGAATATTGTAGATTTTCTCATGAGCAAAACAGGCAGCCACCACTTCATAGATGGGATACATTTTTCCTCAACAACGATTTGTTATTTGGATCAACTACGATAGTATCTAACGTATTAAACCACAATTACCGTCAGCAATATTAAGTGAAAAAAAGAGAGATAATAAGGACATATTCTCAGGAGATTCAAAGAGAAAAGAGTGACTGCAAAAAGTTCTAAGAAAATTTGCTCTAGAAAGCCAAATCCGAAAACAATTGTAGCTTATTTCCAGCGCAAGTTTTGGATTATACATGTATAATAAAACACCGACAAAAGATGAGACAATTACAGTATGACAAAATTAATTGAAAAAATAAGAAACTTAAAAATGACATTACTTTACAGTTACAACAATTATTTTTTTTTACTTTTGAAACAAGAACACCGTATTAAGCAAGATTAAAAAAAAAAATTTATTTCCAATTTACTATGCAACAAGACAACAAGCTCAAGAATATTTAATCAAAATTCATATAATATTTAATAATTCAAAAAACAATTGTTGTAAAAGAAATTGAAAACATAAAATACCAATATTTGTTTTTTTTTTTTTTTTTTTTTTTTTTTTTTTGTGTGTGTGATTTATTCGGAAACATAAACATGTTTGGTAATTTTTTTTTACAATATTTCATAAAAAAAATGTTCAAATTATTTTAAAAATTATATTTACATTTTATTTTTATTATTATTTTTTAAAAAAAAGATCTCATTACAATTTTTAAATTAAAATAACAAAAACAAGTGAAGGGTAAAAAACAAAGATTAAGAAGAAAATTAAAAGAAAGAACTTTGAAGGAGAAAAAAATAAGAGTTTGAATGAATAAAGAGAATGCAAACTTTTAAAAGCAAACATACACATGGGCAAAACGGTGTGTTCGTGTGTTTGCTTTACTAATTGTTAATGGAGTCGTCTTTTATTCTGTCAAATTATCATTTCAAGACTCTAATATGAACCTCTAAGGAAGTCCCTCTTATTTTTATTTTTCCTTTTTAATTTATTCAAATGAGGCTAATTATCTTATGAGCTTCACAAATATCATATCAAAAATTTAAATATTGAATATATATATATAACTAGCATGAAAAACACGTGGACTTCCATTTTTCTTTATTTTTTTTTTTAAAAAATTATTAAAATTACTCACCTGGACTTCCATGTGTCTCGACGTCTCTGCCGTACGGGTTTCTTATACAGAGCCAGTGGGGACTGTCTACCACGACCCATAAGTAAAATGGTAGAGTGGAATGTAGAATGAGCAGCTGAGCTGTTGGGAAACATGTGGGACCAGTGAAAAAAACATAAGACGTGAAAAGAAGGAAGAGAGAACGGAGAAAATGAAGCTGCAAATTGATAGAAGTAAAGTAACCTTTAAAAAAAAAAAAAATTTGACAGAAGTCTGGAAATGAAATTGAAGATCCGCAACATCCGTAGAATCAGCTATAATTTTTCTTTTCTTTTTTGAGATGAAAATTTGAGAAATTATAACTCTTTTGAATTTTAGAGCTTTTGCTTTGTGATATATATGATCTCCTTCCGAGATTATATATATATATAGCTTTCGCTAGTTCAGAATTATTTATTAGAAGCCACAAAATATCAAAAAGAAAATGGTTCGATTGGGCGCAAATTCAGAGGATAGAGCCTCCATTCCATGCCCGGAAAGTTACCTACATTCAGCCACGGACCTATAAGGGGACCAGGGGGTGAATGCCCCTCTGGAAATTTTTTTTTTTTTTTTGGTTGTATTATATACTTGATTTTTTAAAAAAATTTTATACCATGCCTCCCACTGTATAAGTTCCCAAAATATTATTTTATCTCCCACTATATAAGTTTCCAAAATATTATTTTATCTCATTCATACTTTGGTTCTCTCATCTCTGCCTCGTGCGCGAATATATATAATATATTAGACAATATAACTTCAGCCTTCAGACCTTCTGCCTTTGACAGTTCTTTCCACCACCGACTAGCCTCTACCTCCATCCGGCAATCCATGTATCTCTCTCACATACACGACAGCCACAAACACAGTACCCACTTGCAATTTGTTATCCTAATTGTTATGAAAAGGCCGCCCATGACATAATTTTCTGGGTCCGTCACTACTTACATTATATCAGTGAGTGACCACCCGCTTTATTCTTCTATGTAACCCTAAGCTTTAAATTATTTATATTATAAGTCGCATCAAATAAAGATTTTTCTCGGCGGGGAAAGGTTTTAACCTTGAAAATTATGAGTCTTTTACGATGAATTATTTTAAAAATTCTTAAATTTTCAAAAAATTTTGATTTAGACATATTTCTTGAATGAATAATTTTGATTTTTTTTTCTGTAAATAATATAATTTTGATTTTGATTGTAAATATTTTATTTTTTCTTCAAAATTCTGGCAAACACACACACTGTATTTTTGTCTTATCAGTAACTCCAACACTCAAGCTCCGATGAGAAAGTTAGATAATTGTTTTGATGACAAATTAGGAGAAATAGAAAACGTATTAGAAGAAGCAAAATTAAAATAAAATTGGAGGAGTTTGAAATTACATATCTCATTTAACATTAAAAAAAGAAAAGAAAAAAGAGTAGCTTGATAACCAAATTCGATCTGTTAAGAAATGAAGACAGCCAACTTCATATATATATATATATATATATATTCTCCCTCTTCTCTCTTTGGAAAAGAGACATCTGATGCATGAAGAAACTAAAGAAGAGACATAACTAATTAAAGACATACGTACCTCTAGTTTATGACAAACTTGTCTGGAATCTGGATGGACCAAATGCACCAGATGGAGAAGAGATGATTCAGTTATTGCTCAAGGGAAGGGATTGCAGATGGTGAGACTGCTAGCTAGAGAAGATGACAGAGTAAGAGAAAGCAGAGATTGAGAGATTGCAGAGTGAAAGAGATATAAATACAAATTCAGATTTATAGAGGGAGATCACCTAATCATAAAGAGAAGTAAATGAGAATGTTAATCTAGAACCAACAAAGAAAAGAATAAAGGAACTGCGGTACCGGATCCTCTATAAAATGGCATCCGTGTTGTGCTACATCGGACGACTTACAGCACACGCATGTTTATAGCACGGGTTCTGTATTGCCTAGGATCTCGACACCTAGCACTGCGTTGTTGAAGAAAGATCAAAAAAGAATATGGCAAGCCCCCTGTATTAGTTTTTTGCACTGGATTCTATTTTTAGGATAATCTCAAGAAAAGAATTTCACTTGTAAATCAAAATATAGTGCAAGAAATCTTATATTTTACTAAAGTATTTATGTGAATTCTATTTTCTGATAATCTCCAGAAAAGAATTTCACATGTAACTCGGAATAAAAAATCTTAAACTTTATTGAAGTATTTCTTGGGGATCCTTACCACCTTAGGTATTATACTAAGCTTTACTAACTCTTTGTTTGATGATGATAGGACTTAGATTTGGAGTTATTTAACTCCACATAATGAAAATTTTCAAAGATACTTCCAATCTCAACTTTTAAGTAAATTTGATCCTGTAATACATGAATTCAAACTTTTTTAAAAATATAATTTTGTTTTTTGTTTATAAAATTGGTAAAACTAGTATAGCTTCAATGAAAAATTAGAGGAAATAGGGATCATATCATAAGTAGAAAAAGTAAAAGAAGAAAACTAACATTTGGTTAAGTCAATCTCGATAAGAGAATGAAATAAAAAAAAGTTGCAAAGCTTCCTAAACAAATTGTTGTTACAAAATGATGATAACAAACGTTTCATGAATAACGTACAACGAAAATCTAAAATGCACTTTAGAACAAGAGTACTTTTAAATATGAATAATAAATTATGTTACTTGCTTTTTTCATTGTATTTATGCCCCGAAAAAACACTCATTTTCACCGATTCATCTATATAAAGAAACAAACAATAAAGTAGAAAAAAATGCCTTGGCATCAACAGGCCAAAAAAACAAAAAGGTGCTCCGTTCTTTGCTTCAACACAACTCCAAGTATGATTTAAAAAAGGAAAATGATACTTTGACTGGCACTTCATTGTTCAAGTAAGATCAAAAACGAATATGGCAGGGTTGTATCAGCTATTTTGCATTGATTCTATTTTAGGATAATCTCGAGAAAATAATTTCATAAGCCACAATACTTAGAGCATCTTTAACAGTATGTTAAAATATTTTTTTTTTTGTGTAAAATATACATTGTCACGTATGATGGGTAATTATCATTTTTTATTTTTAGCAGTCTATTAAGATACACTGTCACGTTACCAAAGTCTAAAATTATTGCGTATTTTACACAACCTTTTTACATTGGCACATCAGTATATTTCCTTCTCCTCCCTCTTTCTCATTCCATTAACGAATCAATTCTATTAAGTAGGTTTGTAAAAATTATGTGAGTCCAGACATGACAATCGTTTATTATTATTGGGGAATATATTTTTACACAAAAGGTATAAAACAATTGCTGGAGCTAAAAATAAATAATTTAAATTTTTTATGTAAATTTATTATGACACATCATATTTATATATATATATATATATATATATATATATATATATATATATATAATGTACATAATTGTTGGAGATGCTCTTAGGTGCTCTTTAATGTGAATACCATCTAACTGCTGATGTCGACCAAAAACATATGAACACGTGCTCTTTAATTATCAAATTGGAGATAGTGAGATATATAGGTGGTGAGTTAATTGTTTTATCTGTTTTGGTAATTAAAAGATGACGTATCCATTTATTATTGATTCACATCAACAATTTTGATGATGTACATCCTCATTGGTTGGGACCTAAGTATTGTCATTTCACATGTAACTCAAGATAAAATGCAAGAAATATTACTAGAGTATTTCTTGTGGATTGTATTTTCGAATAATCTCAAGAAAAGAACTTCACATGTAACTGAATGAAGTACAAGAAATCTTAAGTTTTACTAAAATATTTCTTGTGGATTCTATTTTAGGACAATCTCAAGAAAAAAATTTCACATGTAACTCTGACAAAAGTTCAAGAAATCTTAAGTTTTACTAAAGTATTTTTTTTTTCTTAGATCCTCGCCACCCTGGGTATTGTACTACGCTTTACTAACTCTTTTTTAATGATGAGAGAACTTAGATTTTGAGTTAAGAAACTCCTGATAATGAAGAGTTTCAAAGATATTTTTAATCTCAAATTTTTAGGTAAATTTGATCATGTAATACCTGAATTCAAACATTTTTTAAAATATAATTTTGTTTCGTTTATGAAATTGGTAAAGCTAAATTACAGCTTCAATGAAAAATTAGAGGAAATAGGGATGATATTCGAAGAAGAAAAAGTAAAAGAAAAAAACTAGTTAAAGAAAATAGTAGGATTTTGAATTTGATTAAGTCAATCTCGATAAGAGAATGAAATAAAAAAGTTGCTAAGCTTCGTAAACAAATTCTTGTTCAAAAATGAAAATAATAAAGTTTTCCTGAATAACGTAAAACGAAATCTAAAATGCACTTCAAACAAGAGAATTTTTAAATATGAATAATAAATTATGTTCCTTGTTCTTTCCATTGTATTTATGCCTCGAAAACCCCTCGTTCACCAATTGGACTCTATAAAGAAACAAACAATATGGTAGAAATTAAAAGTGTCTTCGCAACATCAGGTCACAAACAAAAAAAAAAAGTGTTGTGTTCCTTGCTTCAACACAACTCCAGAAATGATAAACCTACGTCTTCAGGTCACAAAAAGAAAAAAAAAAAAAAAAAGTGTTGTGTTCCTTGCTTCAACAAAGCTCCATAAATGATAGTAAATTTGTAACGACCCGTTCTACTACATGATATGATATTGTTCGCTTTGGGCCTGAGCTCTCATGGTTTTGCTCCTGAGCTTCACCCCAAAAGGCCTCATATCAATTGGAGATGACACACTTACATATAAGTACTTCACCTTTCCTTTACCCAGGCGATGTGAGACTGTGCACTCGTAACTCGTCAGTATGATAGCCTGTCAGTGTCTCTCGCACTCGCCCACGGTACATCAGCCAGAAAGTCATCACAATTCACCCCCCTTGGAGGCCCGACGTCCCCGTCGGCACACTTTCGGCTGGGTCAGGTTTTGATACCATTTGTAACGACCCGCTCCACCACATGGTATGATATTGTTTGCTTTAGGCCTGAGCCCGCACGGTTTTGCTATTGGACTTCACCCCAAAAGGCCTCATACCAATTGAAGTGACACATCTACATATAAACACTTCACCTTCACTCCTAACTGCACCCGTAACTCGCCAGTGTGGTAGCCTGATAGTGTCTCTCGCACTCGCCCACGGCACACCCACTCACAAGGTTATCACAATCCACCCCCCTTGGAGGCCCGACGTCCCCGTCGGCACACTTTTGGCTGGGTCAGGTTTTGATACCATTTGTAACGACCCGCTCCATCACATGGTATGATATTGTCTGCTTTAGGCCTAAGCCCGCACGGTTTTGCTATTGGATTTCACCCTAAAAGGCCTCATACCAATTGAAGTGACACATCTACATATAAACACTTCACCTTTTCTCTACCCAGGCGTTGTGGGACTTGTGCACCTGTACCTCGCCAGTGTGGTAGCATGACAGTATCTCTCGCACTCGCCCACGGCACACCCGCTCACAATTAGTATGAGGACTTTTGGGGTGAATTTCAATAGCAAAATCGTGCGAGCTCAGATCCAAAGCAGACAATATCATATTATGTGGTGAAGCGAGTTGTTACCAAATTAATTAGCATATATGGTTTGTGTATAAATACAAACACATGTGAGTATATAAGTATTCTTATATTTTGTTACAAGTAATATTACATTTCTTTTTTAAGGAACTCATATTTGCCTAAGGCACCCCACCCTCTTTCTCTGCTAAAATAAAATTATAAAATAGACGTCCTTGCATTACACCATCTTTAGTTCTTATATTTAAACTGAGGACTCTTCCCATTCCTTTCAAACTTAGTTCAATTCATTAGAAGTTTTTTTTTTTTTTTTTTTTTTTTTTTTTTTTTTTTTATCAAGTAAGCAATGTATATACTCCATTTGTTTCAAAATAATTTTTGTGAGTCATAGTTTCCAAACTATCCAACTATTTTAGAAAGGAAAGGAAAGAGTATATATATATATATATATATATATATAACGTTAAAAAAAAAAAAAGGTTAGGAATTCTAAAAGAAGTCATGTTCTATTCCCCTCCCTTTGGAGCTCTTTTTGAATTCCTATATATCATGTTCTACTCTTTTAGAATTCCTAATTTCTTTTTTTCCATTCTTAAAATTTCATTTCATTACAAAGCTAAGTGGATTTTCATTTTGATATTTTAGTGTTTATTGTAATTAGAGGTGGCAAATTACAATACGACACAACAAAACGACACGAGTCAAAAGAATTTAGGTTTGGATCATAAAAAAATCGACACGATTAACCCATTTACTTAACCGTGTCGGATTAGGGTTGAGTGGTTCAATCCGTATAATCCGTTTATGACCCATTTAACTTAATATGTTATAATCATAAATATGACTTATGTAATATGTTACACATTTAAACTTAATTACTATAGATAATTAAGTCATTTTAACATAAATCTTATCTATGCCTTATGATTTTTCTTCTTATTTTGAATATTTGGATTAATTGTTATAATTTTTTTCTACTATTTAATATTTAATTAAATATTAAATGTCTCGTTTTGATAAACATGTCATTAAACGGGTTAACACGTTTACCTGTTTAATAAACGGGTTAGCTTAGTGTTGAGGGTTCTTGATATGATTATTAAATGGGTTAGGTTTGGATTTACCTATTTAGTATAATACCCTTACATCGACAAGACACGACACGACACGACACAATTATGACCCACGAACACGAATTACAACCCCTAGTTGCAATGCAAGGCGGATTCTGAAATTGTCATTTATGTGAACTCATA